CCGTTCTGTCAAAGTTGAGACAGAGGTGGAGTCCTTTGTTTACAGTCTGAAGGGAGGAGGCAGCTGGGGGAGGCCTTAGAAGAAAAGCCTCCGTCCAGAATCCCTGGTGGAAATATTTGGACAGCACTACTGCCTGTGCCGAGAAAATGACCCCCACCCAGGGCTTCCCCCACCCCCAATGGAGCCCTGGTGGTGCAGTGGGTAAAGCACCCGGCTGCTAACCGGGAAAAGTCAGTAGTTTGAACCCAACCAGCCACTCCAAGGCAGAAAGCTTGGCAGGCTGCTTCCGTAAAGATTACAGCCTTGGAAACCCTATGGGGTATTTCTACTCCTATAGGGTCGCTTCGAGTCAGAACTGACTTGATGGCAATCGATTTGGTTTCAGGTTTGGTAGGGGCTTCCTGGGAGTCCCCGGGTGGCACAAATGGTTACACGATTGACTACTAACCACCAAAATACTGGCAGTTGGAACCCACCCAGAGGCGTCTAGAGAGGTTGGTGATCTGCTTCCGAAAGTTCACAGCCTTAAAACCCCTACGGAGCACAGTTCTACTCTACACACATGGGGTTGCTCTGAGTTGGAATCCATTTAATGCCAACTGGCTAAGGGCTTCCTGACAGTCCCTTCTGAGGATAGTCTTGCTCACTGGCACTGGCAGGGCTCAAACTGACAATCTGGGAGATTGAGAGAGGGCTGAGGGATCGGGCTCAACCTCTGAGCTTCAGTTTCCTGGGTCTGCAGGTCAGAAGCCAGAGGTACTCCGCAAAGGGCAACACAGAGTCCTGAAAAGAGCCTGGGCTCTAGGCTGACCGAGGCCTACATTGCAAAGGAATTGAATGTGCCCTTGGGTATTTAACCTCTCTGAGCTCAGCTAGCACGTCTGTAAAATGGGGTCATCACACCCTCCTCAGAGGCTGGCCTGAACATGGAATGGAGTAGTGTACCTCTACTGGCACATCGAAGCCCCTGGAATGTCATTAGTCTCCTTCAGTTCCCTGTTAGCAGGGGGGAAGGGATGGGCAGGCAGAGGAGGGAGGTAGAGAAGCCCTAAGCTCAAGGAAGGAAGGAGGCTTCGTTCTCCCTTCTCCTTCCTTCTGTGTAGGGATGGTTGTTCCCTACTGGCTTTGGATCCGGTTGCCTATCTACCTGTCTTTTAACCTTCCAAAGTTTCCATTCAACAAACGAGTTGGCATGAGGGCCAAAGCTCAAAGGTTAAGAAAAGACTCCACTACTTCAGCCCACAAGACATTTACAGCCAGAAACCTAAACCTTCTCTGAATATCACCTTCCTCAAAGGGCATGGCTGCAAAAGAGCCCAAGGGACAGATGCTTGTTCTCAGTCCTCCAAGATTTAGTAAAAACACTGAACCTTGTCCACCAGGTACTCACTCACCTTTTGCCCTGAGACTTCATCATCACCCCTTCTCATATGAAGCTCTAGTTAAGTCGTGTCCTTTCTTTTTTTTTTTTTTAATGTCCGTTAGAGCCGTTCCCTAACAGGGCCTAGCCCAGGATCTGCTACTGTGTGACCTTGAGCAAGTTACTTCACCTGTCTGTGCCTTGGAGTCTTTGTCTTCATGAGGTGAATAGACTAGACCCTGGGGTTCTAACCTCAAGGTCCATGGATGGCCTTTACATATGTATGAATCCCTTCAAAAATAGGCTAACACTGGTTTTGTCCCAGAAGGGAAGTGGGCTGCAAAGAAGCCAATGGTAGAAAGAAGTTACAGTCCCACTGTATTACGCTTTGCAGCTTTTGAATTTTGAACCAAAGGAATGTTTTACCTATTCAAAAACAAATACATAAAAATTTATATTAAAAGGAAAGAAAATGTATGCAAATCTGCTTGTGTGTATGATCGATCACCTGTGCATTTTTCTGGGAGAGGATCCATAATTCTTATCAGGTTTTCTAAGTGTCCTTGACTCCAGAAAGGTTTAGAAACCATGTTATTAGATAACCTTAAGGGTCATTTTCAATACTCATTACTTCAACCATCCTGGGCTGAAAGTCAGTGCACTGCGAACAGGTATCCTGGAATCTAACATTTAAATAACTATGCACGCACGTCTGCAAGAGCAGGTCCCCTGCGAATGCAGGACTTGTTGTGGATTCATCAGTGCGTCTCCTACCAGGCAGCCCTCTGAGATCAAGGTCAAGAAATGACCTCATCAGCCTATTGTCTAAAAACTGCAGGATTAAGTCCTCTTTGCCCTACCCCCTGCGCCCGCTTAAAGAAACATCCAGCCTGGATTAGCTGCACGAGCAATGAATTTAAATAAATACAACATAGATTTTAAATTTTGGTCACTTCGGCACTGAGAAGGAAGGGAGTGAGAAGGATGGGAAATGGGGTGGGAAGATCCAGGGAATGAAGTCCAGGTTCATCCGGAGAGTGAGGTCTGAGTCTCTGAAACCCACAGTAACCCACAGTGCCAGACAGGAAGCGCTTCCTAGGTGTCTGATGTGGAAAGCTTCAGGGAAGGAGGAATCTAGCTGAGAGATCAAAGACAACTGGTGAAGGCAACCAGACTAGCGGCTGAATGGGTCAAAGTAAGAGAAAGGTCACATGCTTCAAAAAAAAAAAAAGGAAGGGAGAGCCGCCATTTAACAAATGGCCCCTGGCTATGGTAAACTTTAATCAACTGCACTATTATAATTCACTTCCAGCCTGAGTTCCACCCCACCCCGCTCTCTTCCTCCCACTCTCTCCCTCCCCTCTCCCCCAGGTCTGTCTGGCCAGGCTTCCTTAGTGAAACCAAACTGGCTGCCTTCGCGCCTTTGCTGAATGCCTCATTATTACAGCTACTGCTTCTGCTAATAATAGCACCCAGCAACAAGAAGAAGAAATCCATACACTTCCCAGTTCTTAATGACAGGTCCCCCTTTCCAACCTAAATGCATGAAATCAAGGGTCTTGTAATCCTAAAAGTTTCTGAGCATAATACCACAGCAACAAAGAGGCGGCTGCAGGCGGGCAGGTGCAGATGTGCATGCAGAGGCAGGTAACAGGGCCGATTCCCAGTTACCATAGGGTCCACACCTAGACAGGTAACCCACACATCCAAGTTCATATGCTTGGTACAGTGCAATGGCTGCACCCACCACTCCTTCACTCGATGATGCTTCAATTACACCCGTGACACTCTATCTCTGTATTCTCAGGCTGCTGAGATTTACCCGTTTTAAGAGCGTGTGCAGTGAAAAGTGGGTGCTGGGAGCACGTTGGAGGATCTTCCAGGCGAAACGGGCTTGTTTTTTATTAATGAGCTTATGAGAAAAGCCAACCCAGGCCTTTAAGTTGAAATGTGTGATTGGTAGCCAGGAGAGATGGGTTTTAGAATTAACTCTTCCTACAGTCTGCTATACGTTATCACCCCCAAGTTAATTACCCCTGAGGATGAAAATCGGTTTCATGACTCATAAGCACCAGTACACCGTTTGGCAGCAGATGAAAATGCAAGGACACATTTGCAGTAAGCTAACACACGTAACTATTTATATTTGGGGAGATTCTTAAAGAGGGGAAATAGGCACCTCCCATGTTCCAGGATTAAGAGGCTCCAGCAAATCCATCAATTGCCACTTAACCACACCCTGAAGCACACACATACACACACACACACACACACAAACACAGATACACACACAGTCATGGTTTCCCACCACTTCAATGATGGTGGTGGCAAAGCAGGAACAGAAACTAAAAGGGTGTTATTAACAGCAAGTCCTAACACCAACTCAACATCTACACCAGTATTCTGGCCTAACCAATGATGTTTTTCCCCAAACGTGCCTGATCCCACACCCACCTCTCCACCCTGCCATCTCTTCTTTGACGGAGGTGGAGTCGGGGATCCAAGTCTCTGCCCTTATTACTCTGCCCGGGTGGGGGCCGTCCTGGTTCAGCTTGCCCCGCCCAGGAACGGGGTGTGGCCAGGAATGGCTTTCAGATAGGATCGCCGGGTTTTGTTTTGCTTCCTCCCTCCTGTTTTCTACTCTTCCATTTGCTTCCCAGGAAAGTCCAAAGTTCAAACCGGGTCGGTTTCTCTTGCCCTAGCTCTGGGGGGGCTCTCCTGGTCTTCCTGAGGGGGCCCTGTCCCTCCCCTGCCCCTCCGAAATGCTGCCCCAAAAGTTGATTAGATGAACAATTCCATTTCTTCACTGGTAGGAATGGATTTTATTTGCTGTCATAAGTGAACTTTGCTTCAGGAACTTCTTTTTCTGGCTTCCTTTCCCATCCCTGGCAATCTTCTGATCAGCTAAGTGGTGTGCTTTTAGAAATACTTATCAAAAGGGGGAGAAAGAAAAAAACGCGGAATGAGGTGAAAATTGCTTTTCCAATGCATCAGCTGGAAGCTGCAGGGAACCCTCCGGGCTGAGTACAAGCATTTGCTTCCCAGTAGTCCATAACCTTCCCGGCCTCCACTGATGGCTCCAGGCTATGTGGCATTTTTGTTTTAAATGTGCAATCGCCATGATTTCTGCCACATCTAAGAGGCAAACCACCCTAGTTTTTTCTAGATTTTTTTGCCTATTTGCACAAGTCACAGTTGCATTGGGTATCAACATATACTCCTGGCCACAGGGCAAGGCACCAGAAAGCATTCCTGACAATACCAGTTGCAGCTGGGGCGCTTGCGGG